ATATAAAAGACTAAAAGTTATGAAAGCATAAAAAAGTAAAGATAAGTTTAAATAATTCACATTACGCATTCAAATACAATCAAATTGTTCAATAGTCAGAAAAGCAGCGAGTGGACCAACTTTTTTGACGTTCTAGTTTTAAATTATTATTCATTCGGAGTCGGAATCGAAACTTTTTTTTCGACCCAGACTCCCACTTCTTATGCTCAAAACTGCATCCGGCTCCGACTTCGACTCCACGACTCCAACTAGTCCGACCTGATAATGACAATAAAATATTTCATCGAACTCAAATCTTTAAAATGTGTTGCAAACTCGGTGTTCTGCTACAGTGCTACATGTACTGTTGTGATATAGGTATGTTTACGAAACTCTATAAATTAATACCAGCTTTAGACAGTATACAATTGCGTGTCAGCAAGGTGTCTATGTCCAACAAGTAAGACATTGCTGTTGAATTTGATATCCCATCATGCAATATCAAGCCAACACCGTTTGAGACGGTCAAGCTAATCAATCACATTCCTGTATTTTCTGTACCTCAACCCACCAAACTATCAAACGAAGATTGGTCAATTTTCGATATCGCACACCTTGGGAGGAATCTTCGCATGCCTGAAGGAAGTCTCCATCAATAGACCCGAGGCATGTGCTTTCAATCAGCGATTATACGCTCCACTGGCTGCTTTCGGAAAGCAAAACCATTCTTGTTCATTTACAAACACACGCTTCCAGATACTGTTTGGCTACTTATCGCCTAAAGGTGGGATTAGTCGAGCAAATCCTTTTCCATTCAATGCCGGCATGTATATCATCATTGCTGTTCGTTCGTGTCGAGCTCGGCTTGTTTGCTCTTGTAGAAAATGAGAATCGCTCCGTAGCTCGAGTCACGCACATACACACAACAAACGCACCGATTCCCGGGCATTTCGATCTTGTTTCTACCGTACACGAGATCAAATATTTATCTTAAATAAATATCAGCAAATGATTGATTTTAATAGAATAAATATTTGCTACATTATTTATTGCTGCCGCCCAATGGCATGGGAAAAGCTAGCAGTGGGGAACGATTTTCCGTTGATTTGTTCGTTGGTTGCGTGTGACAGGTGAACCTAATAAGATTGAGGGCGGCTTTTGTGTTGCCCACCACCCAAACCAAGAAGGTGAGTGTGAATCCTCGGGCCAAAGTGGAAAAGGCTTACGACCTACCTACGGGGTTTGACTATTTTGTTTACACAGACGAAGCAGTAGCTGGTAGGCAGCAGATGCCTGGCTGTAGATGTGCTTCGTTTAAAAAGGAGGAAATTGAGGGTGAAAGTCATTACAGCTCAACAACAGCGGCAGGCAGCACCTACAGGAAAGGTGTGAATTCAGAGTGAAATTAGATTTGTCGAGGGAAGATATTGGAAGGAGGTGGCAAGAAAGTGGGAGGCGCCGGTAGTTACGTGGAGGTAGGTGTGTTGACACTTTGGTTCGACTAACTTTGTAAAGTCACGTAGACAGAAAGGTGACTGGTTGACATCCGAAGATCAAATTATTTCCTTTTGTTTGTGTGATGACGAAGGTAGGTTACTGCAAGAGTGATGCACTGTAATCATAGAGAAAATCGATTTTTGAAGTCAGAAATCTTGAATCCGGTGGAACGGTGCGGTTTGGTGGTTGATCGCGGAATGCTCGTGCTCAATAGCCTTAAGATGCGTTGGTGGGTGATTAAAAACTGGAAACAAATTGAAACAGTATGTTGTCTGAGAAATTTAGAATTTTGACGTTGGATAACGTCTTTCGGCAACATACGGGGGTACAAAATTGAAAACAGTCATTTTGGATGAGTTACGAAAAATTAAAAGATTTTGAACGATAATAACTCAACCATCTCTCGATAGATTTACGAGATAATGGCATCAATCGATTGGAAATATTTCTAGCAATTTACTGAATGTTTCAAAACTATTGATTTCATTCTGTAAACTATTGAAAAATGGTTAAAAGTAAACCATTGTCTAAAGATGGTGAAAATCGATTGATTTTTTTTATATTCTTATACTTTCTCCAACTGAGACATCAGATGCGAGTATCTGACACCTCTGATATTTTCTGTTCTATTATATAAGCGTCCAACAAGGTCGCCCGTTCCATCATTGTCTATCCGATCGTCGACCCAGCAGCAGAGCAGCGGAAGCAGAGCAGCGGCAGCAGAGCCTGGGGGCGAAAGGGCAACTACGCTGAGTGCGTTGGTGCCAGTGCTCCGGTATACTGGGCCGCCGTCATGGAATGCCCAGCTGCTGTAGTTCTCAGTCGGTCGTATTCACCGGGCAACTACGCCGAGCGCGTTGGAAAAATGGCCCTTTTCAGGGCCACAACATTATCAAGAAAGAGTTTAACGATTAATTTTCTAATGCCTTTCCGACACTTTTTTCATGACTTTCATCGGCCTGCTGATATTCATGTGATTTTGTGGTGGGATTTTTAGCTATGTGAAATTCACAGTTATTTCATCCATGTGGTAATTTTTTTGAGTGTGCTTCGGCAATCAAAATAAAGTTTGCACGATGGAAGCGCACATCGTAAATTTCGTTCATTTTAGTAATAATTAAATTGCCCCTCTCCCCCTACCCTCTGGCAGTACATGAAAAGCCTTTTTGTGAGGGGAATTTTTCAAAAGGATACCGATTAAAATAATGGGTACCATTTTCTGAGGATGAGATGAGGACGATTCGTCATCCATATGAAGCGTGTCACGATCATTCCCAAGGATTCGTGGTTAACGCGTCTTATTTCTCTGTTAATACCGGTTAAACTCAATAAGAGGATTGTGATCGACTGGTTCCTCTCAAAATATCTGTTTGGATTTCATCCGAAGTTTCGGTCGCATATATTGTGCCTTTTTGAAGGAATCTCTTGGACTCTATATGTTGGTAGAATGTTCTACTTTAGTATTTTGTGTTCACCTACTAACCAGGCTCGGTTTTATTGTTCTATGAGCCCACAGTATAGGCGTAATAATAATCTAGAAGTATCGCTTCAATACGATTAACCGGTTGACTAAGCAAAGAAGACCGGAAGTCCCAACGGTAACGGTAAATGTTGAGCAATGAAGGAACAATACGCACACCACGATCATTTCTGAAATCTCAACCGTAATTTGCTATTCATTCCGCTGCATCAATGTACACTGAAACAAATCGACATGTATCGTTTATTGGATCCATCTTATAACATAGCAATGTCAGCATATTTATTCATTCTATGTGATGATTGATAGATTCCATTGGATTATCACTTAAAAACTATGACTGCGATATGGAATGATTTCTATCGTAATTTCACATACTTAGTACTTGATAATACTTTGCTTCGAACGTGGTTAGCGAAGGTAAGAAGTATATGAATATTGTCTGATATATTTCATGGTGAAAAACTGTTGATATGTCATGGGTGGGAACAGACATCTAGGAACTAATGGAAAATCATATAAGTTTGCACTATGAGAAAATTCAGTAAAATATACCTGTTTTCATGATGAATATTGCTCACTAAAATATATATCTTATAAGATAATCATGTATATTTTATTGGAGTTGCTTTTACTGATTTTTGACGTTTGTTGATATGTCGCGTGTAAATAGACATGTAGAAACTATTGGACTGTCATTTAACTTTGCAGTATAGGAAAACATGTATATCTCATTGTAATAGCTTGCTTTGATTTTTGACGTTTAAAGATTGTAAACAGATCTATCCCAATCATTAAATAGTCATATAGAAATGCCTTTTAAGAAATCCAACAGCAAGCATTTGTTTTTGCATGTTTTTCTGGGATGAATATCGCTCCCAATAAAATACATCTTACATGATTGTTCTTTATAAATTATTGAAACAATTTTCAACGATGTTAACGTACACTCATTCATATGATAATTGGTTCCAGAAAAGAATGTATTGAGATTGAAAAAAAAAATGATTCTACTGTAATATTTACTTTGCTATGATTCTAATTGTAAGCCTTCTACACGGCTAATTCAGATTCCAGCCCTAAGTAGTACTCGAACTTCATGAGCCAGTTCTATGAAATCATATAATTTAGTCGTTGATTTATTGCACACAGGTGCATTAAGAAAGATTTGAACAAACCACACCACCGAAACGGAACATAAATTTGTCAGTGCTATTTGTCTTCACTCTAGCAAAACGAGCATAAAGTTGCACTACATTCCATGTCGGGAGAGCTGTTCTTACTTCATGCTATTTGAACGAGCTCAATCTTGAAGTCAGCCGTGGCCCAGTGGAATCGAGCACAGACACCGAAAGCATCACACCTCAACAGATCTTGATCGAATCCCAAATCAGCTACAATAAAAAAAAAGGCACAACTGTGAAAGCTCCCACTGCCTGATGTTTATTTTTCGAATTTATTTTTAGAAATCGATTAAATATATGTGTCAAAAAAAGAAGTAAATTTCATGTTTTTTTCACATAAACTTTACTTCGATTGATTTATGACACATATATTATATTGTGGTGAAAAGTATAGCTTATGCTTATGGGTTTCAAATCCATTTCAGTTAATTATTATAATTTAATCGATTTTCATTTATCATATGACGATCATATAAAAGTTACCAAATTATCAGCATTGTAAATGTATCAGATATTCATATAGAATTTACCTGACACATTTTCAATCATATCATTTTCAATGGATTATCTTATAGCGCAAATTTATTAGACTTCCACATAACAGGAATATGTCAAATTCGTTCAGTGTAGGCCATAAGTCCAGGGCCACCGCAGCTCTGCAAGGTAGGGGAAATGGATCTAAGATTGGGCCCATCGCTAAAAATCTGCTATTTACCAATCTTATCTATATGAACGCGTCGTTGGGACGGTACTGATGGATATTTTAGGGCGCTATTGAAAATTTAGTCGTTAGTTTAATTTTAGATATGGATGGAATGATAACACTGCACCGGTTAATTTCTTGGAATTCAAGACACGCCTTCACTAATCAACCATCATCGAACTTACTCGATGAGGATATCGATTAACTAGGGAGAGCATGACAGAAAGATTCAACCATGTTTTTAATGGATTCATTTTATCACTCCTTGCGCACCACGAAGGAAACTGTTTTGAAAACGAAACTCTTTACCATCAAATTGGTCGTCCTGAAAAGGACGGATTTTGTTAAAGGGTGGAAACTTCGATCGAATTTAGGCCTTCTTTTCGGTCTTCTTGGGCAACAGGACGGCCTGGATGTTTGGCAGGACACCACCCTGAGCGATGGTCACTCCGGAAAGAAGTTTGTTCAGCTCTTCGTCGTTGCGGATGGCCAACTGCAGGTGACGTGGGATAATTCGGGTTTTCTTGTTGTCACGAGCGGCATTTCCTGCCAACTCGAGAACTTCAGCGGCCAGATACTCCATCACGGCAGCCAGGTAGACGGGAGCACCGGCTCCAACACGCTCAGCATAGTTGCCCTTTCGGAGTAGACGGTGAATACGACCGACTGGAAACTGCAATCCAGCGCGGCTCGAACGGGACTTTGCCTTTCCCTTGACTTTGCCTCCTTTTCCACGTCCAGACATAATGCGAACGACACGAACAGTTCGATGCTGAGACTGTAATGATGACATTTCGACCGTCGAGGGTGCTTTTATACCTGCGTCGAGTAGCATATTATGAATACAGGGACGGTACAATAAACACTGTGGGTAGCAAAATACTGAAAATGGGATGAGTGTCGGTTGTCTCTACGGGCATGAAACGAGACAGCGTTGCCAGTATTCCTGATTTATTTGATTTTCCAGATTTTCAATCGTCTTGCCAGATACTTACCCAGATATCACTTATATGTTATTACGTTTATTTCAAGAATTTTTAATTATGTTCCGGATTTTCCCAGATTTTTTAAATATGTTGCTTTAGAGAATTTCCAGCCCAAAACGAAAACCGGTTGGACATGAGCGTTTCCGAATTCAGTCCAATAGAGGCGATGGGGGCAAGAAGACCATACGGGGCGAGATGGGCCACCGTTCGTTTGGGCATAATACCTATTAACTCAATTTATTTTTTTTTACAAACTTGTTGAAAATGCTTCTAATATGCATCTCCATGAAAACCGTATCAAAATTCAATTACATGTCTAAGATAATAATGGAAATGTAACATTAGCTCAAAATCTCTAGAATATTATAAGATATGCAGTCAAGAAAACAAGCATCGCATTCACTATATTACATTTTACTGATCCGCTGGTTCTACAGCGAGCAATACACGTAACTGTTGCTAAAAGAACTTATGTTTCTTTCTAGTGAAAACCTTTCAAAACCTTAACTTTTACTAGGGTGCTCATATTGCCCTGTATAGTTGTTGATCGGAGCAAAAACTGAAATTTTTCAAACATAATCATTTATTCAGTCTATCATTCCAAAACCACAACCAAAACGGCCCTTTTCAGGGCCACCAATAATTCGACAAAGAGTTAGTTTTGAAGACAATTTCTATCCAGAATATCACAGTTACACTTAAATTTGGGGACTATACTGGGGTGTGGGAACGCTGGAAGGGGAGATGCTGTCTGTCTTCGAACTACCAACATCATTCCAAAGCTCCTCCAGGGCGACAGAGTAGAGCAAACCCAACAACTTCAGCCCAACAAAACGGCCCTTTTCAGGGCCACCAAACTTTCGCAAAAGAGTTATTAAGGAATATTCCTAAAATCTAATATACACAATTAAATACAACACATAACAGACGTTATCCAACGCCAACCCTGCGGTCGTATCTAGTATACAACCCTTCCAACTTTTTTTAAAATGTAAAGTATGTATTTCAAATTGGTCGACCACGAAAACTTGCATTCTTGCTATGAATTTCCACTGTAAACTAATGATGAAAATGGTTATGTTGATAATACCGGTGATGATAGTCCCGCCTTTCTCCACTACAATGCGCACTGGGTTAGGGTACTGTTAAAAATTTACATTAGACTGGCCCACATTTGTATGGGGGAAATTTTTTATCATTTTTTTTTCAACGGGCCAACCCCTAGATTTGTGCCATTAGGTGAGAAAACCACTCTTTGAAAATTTCAGCTCATTCGGATGTAACACGAGCTAGCGCTTTTGATTTATAATTTCTATGGGGATATTGCTTGAAATGTATGGAGAAGTAATATTCCTTCACTCTTTCAGGCATAGAACTGGTACAGCAAACTCGATTAAGCTCAGAATTTCAGCACGCGTAGCTTTAACTATAAGGAATAACTTTGCTGAAGACAGCATTACGATTTAAGTTAGTATTATTGTGATATTGATTAATTATGTGCATTTTGCTCTTATATTGCAACAAAATACAGGCAGCTTATGCAACATATCAACTAGATAACTACAAAAAATAAAAGTTCATATTTTCCATAAGCCAACATCCAGGCTCGTGTCTTTTAGTGCAATAACCACTTTCTGAATGTTTCAGCTCTTTTTGGCGTTACGTGGGCTGGCGCTTTTGGATTAATGTTCATATATGAGATTTGGTTGATACAAAATGCTCATACATATTCAAAAGCGAATACCGTGTGGGACCGAAATCCGTACACCTAAGCACGAGAGAATCATTAACGGCCAATACTAAATAATGCTATCACATTATGCTCTGTATCACATCTTTTTCCTATACATTTATCTTTATTTTACCATTATTTGCAAACACCAGGTCTTAAAATTGCCTTTAATTATAAGAAAAAAGTATTTAAATTGCACATCTCTTGAATCAAAATCCGTACAGCGTTCTACGATTGAATCAAAATCCGTACAATTTTGAATCGAAATCCGTACACTGTGTTGAGGATGAATCAAAATCCGTACAGTCATGAATCAAAATCCGTACATGCATGTAAATCGATCTAAATCAATGAAAAAAAAACATGTTGCTGTCTTGAATAAAGTATTTTTTTAGAAGTTGCTTGTCTAGGAGTCCAAAACATGTTTTTTTTACGTGGTTTTTTTTTACACGGTTTTTTTTACACGGTTTTCCACGATTTACACGGTACGTTTTTAACGATTTCTCGATAACGATACAACCTATCGACTTGATTCCAATCACATTATCCGTTTCAAGCTATAGGTAATCGAATGTCATACTTAAAAAAAAAATCACAATTTTTGGTGTAAATACAGAAATTTTTAAAATATGTCTATATGGACCATATCATGCTTTAATTAAAAATGGTATCAAAATCCGATTTTTTGAAAACTTTTAAGCATGTGAAAAATCAAAATCTCGTAGGTTTTTTTTTACACGGTGCGTATCCCCCGTGTAAAAAAAGACCTGAGTGTATACTCGTTTAAATACACTAGTTTACAGCATGATTGAACTTTGTACGCTGATGGTCATTTCCCATGTAAAATTGTGCGCTGAATCTAAAAATGTAGTCTAAAAAAATCTCAGTAGGACAGTTTTTGAGATATAGCTAAAAAATGAAACCTCACTTTAAAAAAAACGTGTTTACTACAACCACAAATACCTCCGGCTGTAATGAAGTAATATTAATTATTTTAACACCGAATTAAACGTGATAAAATTTGATTTCGATCATTACAACACTATTTTTCCGTTAGAGTAATGGTATAAGCACAATAAACATTTTTATTTACATTGCTTAAAAAATTAGCAGAAATTAAATTTTCTAAGGAAAACTTAAAAAAAAAACAAATTATTAACTAATAACAATACTACTAATCTCACTGACAATTGATGTTCAATTGATCGAACGAAAAATTTCTTACCTCTTATTTAGCGTTAAAATAATTGTCATTTATATTGTTGGATTCAGCGTACGATTTTACATAAGAATCATTCGTCAACGGTTCAAGTTCATTTTTTTTATTTTTTAACTAGTAATATCAGCGTTAGATGAATTGATGCTCCAATCGATTCAAGGGAAAGGTAACTGATTTCTTTTTATTTAAGAAGGTGACTGCTCTGGATTTTCATGCTAACTAATATCATGTTTAAGGATTCATTTCCTCCTAATTTTATTCTATACCAGTGCTTTGGGTTAAATATTATTACTAGAGCTTACCTCCGATCACAACTTCGAGGTCTTTGAAATTTGACATGTGGTAACGTGCAAGATGCGCCATACTTTGAAACTTGGGGGCACTCCAGCTCAACGCTACAAAACATTATTAACCGGGCCTAAACTGGGCGGTGTAGCTTGGACAATGTTGTCGAATCAATAATAGCAAACTGAAGAGAAGACTGCCGAAACATCTTTAATACACCGATAATGGAAACGCTCCACCAACCCACTGGCATCAAGCGATAGAATAAGCGGTTTCTAAGATGGTAGCCCTATAATGGCGGATAAGTGAAAAAAAATAGAACCATCTTCGAAACCAACAAAAAAGACAGTGAATTACCATCAAAGATTAGTTTTTGGTTTTGTGCATGTAAAATAAAATAAACGTAAGTTAACTACTAAAACTTAATTTAATTTAAAACGTCAAGAGAGTAATAATCATAAAAATGCAGATCTTTCATAGCTTCTGTTCCGCAGCTTTCTTCTGCAACGAGTTTTTTTTCGGAAGAGTGTTCTAAACGAATTTATGGGACAATGGGACAAAATTTCACAATCTTCATGGCAGGTTTTAAGAAGCTTTGCCATCACAAATTTTTAAATTTCCTATGATGGAGTGAAGGATATAAAGAAACCATATGTTTGTGTTCAGATATTGCCAAAACTTGGCGAACAACGAAATCCACTCAAAAAAGGTGTTATTCCATTATAACTGCAATAGGATACCATTTTTTCGGGGTTTTTAACACAATCTGCACCTATTACGATTGTTTGAATATGTTTTTAAATTATTTTTATAAATTACTAGCTGAGTGTGCCCGGTCTTGCTCGGGATTCAATATTAGCTTGAGTTTATGCGCCGATTTAAAAAAAAGCATGCTATATTGTACGTAGCACCCCCCCTCCCCCGCCCCATATTATCTAAGGGGCTACCCCCTATGATAATCTCCTTATACCCCCACATGCCTAGTTTGGTTCCATTTGCTTGATTAGTTCTCGAGTTTTGCAGAAATTTCTGTTCATTTGTATGGGAGCCCCCCCTTACAGAAGGGGGAGGGGTCTCGAACCATCATAAGAACCTTTCACGGCCCCAAAAACCCCTGTATACAAATTTTCGTGCCAATCGGTTCAGTAGTTTCCGAGTCTATAAGGGTCAGACCGACAGACAGACAGACAGACAGACAGAAATTCATTTATATATATTTATAGATTACATGGGTTTGGGGTACGATTCGAACTTTTGCCCCGCTGACTCGAAATTTTCCCCACTATAGGCAGTTACAGCTTCCTGATGAAAAATAAAAAATCAAACACTCATAAAAACATCTTTAAGAGAAATGCAATAAAAGTATATTCTTGCTCCACGCCTTCAAAGTTGGTACAAATGTTTTAATCTATCAGTTCAAAACAAACTTTAGTAGCTCTTGGAAAAATCATGAATATTTGTGATATATTGTTTGAATCTAAAAGAACTTCCAAGCAAATGATATAAAATTTAGTTTTATGTTG